CTATTTGAATTTTTATGTAAATTTATCAATATAATATATTTTTAGTTAACCTTAGCATAATCTATTATACATTTGTTAATTAATGCATATTTTTATATTATAAAAATAAATTGTATTAAAATATCTTCTTATATATAATTTTCTTATATTTTATTCAAATTTTAGGTAAAAATTATTCATTCCTTAATTTTTGGTGAAGATAGACTATCGTTACTATCGTACTAAAAGTATTTCTATTTTATGTATATTGAGTGAAGAGATTCTCAATATCCATAGTTAAGAACACAAGGTTTGTTCAATTATTTAATTCATAATTTGTTTACTTATTTATTATTTATTTTTAATAAAGATAATGATAAATATTTTATTAAAAAAATTTTTTTTCGTACTATTTTATTTTTTGAAAAAATACATTATATTATTTATAACAGAAATAAATTATTTTAGAGCCATGTCATCAGGCGCAGGTTCCAGTGGAACTGGCCGGGGGCGTGGTTCATCACTGGCAGACAATAAGCCAGAGAGCAAAGAAGCGAAGCCTAATCCAAAGATGTCAAAAGCTTTAGGAACATCCGCCAAAAGGTAGCACATCCATCATCCAAAATTAAAAAGACTCTGCCATGGAGACTTAACAAGAGCTTAAACTAATCTTCTTGTCGCAGGATACAAAAAGAATTGGCAGAAATCACATTAGACCCACCACCAAATTGCAGGTTTGATTTTTTCTTTTTAATTTTTATTCTAATACTTTTGTTATTTTAAAATAATTTGTACAAAAATTAAAATCTGATTTTTGTTATTTAAAATTATTGAATAATCTATATAACTTTAGTATTTATCTTATAGTGCAGGACCTAAGGGAGACAATTTATATGAATGGGTATCAACAATACTTGGCCTCCTGGTTCAGTTTATGAAGGAGGAGTATTTTTTTTAGATATACATTTTTCTCCAGAATATCCTTTTAAACCTCCAAAGGTATGTCTATAATATTATTAATTATGAATTATTCAACAATTAATTAATTAATTTTGCAAATTAAATTATTTATTATTTTTTATTCTTTTTTTCATTAAATTTATTGGAAAGGAATTAATATATAAATATTATTATTATTATTATCATTATCATCATCATCATCACCATCATCATCATGATTATTATATGAAATTAAATTTTAATAATTATTTATTTATTAATATATAATAATATAACTTTAAATTATAATTCATTAGAACTAAATGAATAGAAATAATTTTAAAAGAAGAAAAAGCGATAATTTATATTTAAAATATTTTGTGTTTCAATAATAGATATTACATTTAATTTATAAAGACAATGTGAAAATGCAAAATATATATAAAACAACATATACAAAAGATATTTTTATTTTGAATAAAATCTTCATAATTTTTCTTTTCAAAAGTTATATTATATAATAGAATAAAAAAATTATTTGTTATGAATTTTTTAATATTTTTTTTTTAATGATTTATTTAACAAGTAATTATTCTAAAAGTTTTGAAAAAACATATTATGAAATTGTTAGTATATAATTAATCACTAATACAATGTTTTTAGGTTACATTCCGGACACGAATCTATCATTGTAATATCAACAGTCAGGGTGTAATTTGTTTAGATATATTAAAAGATAATTGGTCTCCTGCATTAACTATCTCAAAGGTTCTATTATCTATTTGTTCTCTCTTAACAGACTGTAATCCAGGTAAAATCTAAATGTTATATATATTTATTAAATATATATATATAATTATGTTCAATAAATATATTATATAATATAGGAAAATTAATAAATTAATTGTTATATATTTTAGCGGATCCTTTAGTAGGAAGTATAGCAACACAGTATCTACAAAATAGAGAAGAGCACGATCGCATAGCACGGCTTTGGACTAAGCGTTATGCCACATGAATAACTTTTTGAAAAAAAGTTGACTTCCTTGTTCCTTCAAAACGAACTTAAGGAAAACTGTTTAACTACATTAAAATTTTGATTATTCGGACTGATCAGTTATTCTTAATAAATTAATCAAATTTCTTCGAATATTATTTATAAGTTTATATTTGTTTAATATAGTAATATTTCTCTATATTATAATTAAAATTATTTACATTTTTTTCTAATCAATTTATAGTATCAATTATTTGATCGATATTATTTTCCTTTATGTTTTTACATACATATATATTTTAATAGATAAATTATGTACAGATACATATATATTTTTTTTCATTATTTATAATCGCTTTCATGAACCAATATTATGTATTATAATAAAATTAATGAGAAGTTATATTAACAAAAATTAAAACTTCGTTTATTCGAAGAAATATCTAAAAAATTTTTTATAATCTTTGAAATTTCAATTTATAGTTATGTTATGAAATACGATAACAAATGATCATTCGAATAATCATAATTTAAATTTTTTGCACCTTCGAAAAATTATCGTATGTATATGTGTATCTATCGAAGGATTGCTATAAAGAAAGACTCTTTAAGATCGTCGATACGATCATTGTGATGTGCTTTTATATCGAGTATGTAAATGTGCCTAAGATGAATGAATGTGCGTGCATGAGCTACCTTACTACTTTCGTTTTCACCCTGCAGCTCTTAAATATCTTCCAGAATGTATTCTTATGAATACAAACAATCTCAATATTAGTCTCAAACTAATTTTTTCTATTACAGATATTTATCTTGTGAAAAAATTTTTGGAAAAAAAATTACAAGATATTACTTTTTTAATTTACATAAAATATTTATATCAATTTAATAAATTTTTACGATAGAATTATATATTCTTTTAAGAAATGAATTGTTATAAAATAATATATTTGATATTAATATTGATAATTGCTATTAGTAATGTAATATATTAAATCCAAGAAAAAGTAAGTTTTTTATTGTAAATTATAAATCTATTATTAATAGATGATTAATGATATATCTTTTTTTCAAACTGCTCAGGATTTTTTTCAAAGATTATTCAATGATGTCTTCCAAAAATAGAAGTGATTTATTTTTCAAAGAACAACGGACTGAAATTTCGAATTTGTGTAATATTTATTATTTTTATAATAATGAATATTTCTTTCTTCAAATTTTCGTAAATATATAGCTTAAGGGTGAAAAGATGAAAGTAAAGGCTTCTCTACGTTTTCTTTTTTTCTCGTTTCTTCTGTTCATTTGCTCGTTTTAAAAATTTGCGATGAGATAGTATTTAAATTGGTATGTCCATTAAAAATACCGAATAATAATATTGATAGGTTAGGCAACATTATGAACAATACAAATAATCTGACTTGTATGAAATTAGGCTGGTAGAGATATCTTAAGGGTCCCTTTAAAATTTTAGATTTTTTTTATATCAGTTTTATGTATAATATAACTTACAAAATCTTATTATGTAAAATTAATTCATTGAAATTAAATGTGATTTACATGTATTTTATTAAAATAAGAAAAGAAACATGTTTTTTCAAGATTATTATAAATTTTAATTTATTCCGTTATATTTATTTGATAAAAATAATGATCATATAAAATAAAATTAATTTTGATCAATCTATTATAAGTTTAGTTTAGTAAAAATAAATTTAAGATGTCTCTTTCAAAATTATGTTTTAATCGGGCCCATACTTAAATTGCTGTAACTGTAAATAAAAATAATTTTCTCTATGTTAATGACAAAAAATCATAGTTCTTAAATTTTTGTCAATTATATTAACAAATAATTTAAAAAAAAAATAATATCTTTGTAAAATTTTTTTTATATAATAGAAAACAAATGAATTACATAAATTGAAACATATTTTGTATCAATTAATTATTAGTTTTGCTAACAAATAAATTAGCATAAAAATCTTTCAGTTATTAATGTCTCACAAATGAAATTAATGATAGTAAAAATTCGAAAAAATTAAGAATTTGTAGAAACTGAGCACTTATTATTTTAATTAACTTCAATCATTAATTATTGTACAGTTTATGTCGCGCAAAGATATTTTCTTTATTTGATTGAAATTACTATCGTTGAGATTCTTGTAAATATATTCTGTGAGGTTCTTAATAAAATGATCTATAGATGATCTTTTGGACCCCTGAAATTGTATATAGATCGTACGTAGAAATGTTCTTTTGTAATTAAATGTTAAAAAAAGTAAAAACATTTTTAATGAAACGTGTTTTATCATAAAAATAATGTAAAGGAAATTGTTTAAACGATTCTTTCAATCAGTCAAAGAATTTTGAAGAGGAAAGATTTTAATAATTTTCAAAATATTTTAAATAAATTTAAATAACTTTCTAACTTTTATAAAATAAAAATATAATAATGAAATTTAAAAGTGTTAATAATTGATTAAATCATCAGTTTAAAAAAATTATGACATAAAAGATCGTTTAAATGGATTCCTGCTCCATTTTTCCCTGCGAATTTCATTTTATTTTATTTTTTTTTATTTTTTTTTTTTTTTTTTTTTTTTCAACAAATAGTTGTAAGACATTATAAGAGAGCATCCTATATGATTATTGAATGTTAGTCTACTAATCTTATAAGTGAATATAAAACAAAATAAAAAAAAAGTAAATTTGGTCGTATAGAATTGTTATTAATCTCTTTTTATTTTTTAAATTTCCTCTAAGATAATATTTTTTCTTTGGAAAAAATGAAATATAAATAAGTTTTTTTTGAAAATATAAAATATAACTAACTAATATATGCTTATGATAAATGTAATTTTACTTTAATGATTATAAATTAATGGAAATAATGGTTAAAATTGAGAATACAAATATAATGCTTATTTAATATATATTTTATTTATATAGATAAAAGCTATATGAACAAGATGTGCTAAAGTGATCAACTCTTAAAAAAAATATTAGTAATATATTAATTAAGGAATTAAATTACAAGTAGAAAAATATTATAATTAAATGCGATTAAATGCCACAAAAAACAATTATTTACTTCTCATTTAATACTGATTTCGTTTTTTTCTTTATTACATTATTATCAGTCTTTTCTTTCTATCAGCCAATTATTTAAAGTAACATTTAAATGTTACGTTTTCATTACATACAAATTATGAATTACAATTCTTTCTATGAAATTGATAGATCAAATATTACCATTAAATGAGAACATTTCTTATCAAGTAAAATCTTAATATTATAACATCTAATATATCATTATTGTGTAAAATTTAATATAATTAAAAATCAAATGCTTATATATATATTGAAATTAATTTAACATGAATATTCTAAAAACCTACACATTTATACAACTTAATATTATAGATTAAAGTCTTATTATATTCAAGGGAAAAATAAAAAATTGTAAAAATTAAAAATTTTTAAAACAGATACATTACAAACCATAAAAATATTTTAAATAATTTATATAATATTTAATTTATGTTTAAAATGTAAACAATTTAAAAAATAAGATTACTAAATAAAAAGTTGAAATAAAAAATAAAATAAAATATTGCAAATAATTGCCACATATTGAATGATTATAGGAACAAACTTAAATTTTTAACTAAAGCAATTCGTAATTAAATTAAGATGATTTATATTATTGCAAAAAATTAGGCACACTTTAATGCTTTAATATTATCTATTGAGAAATATTTTTCTCCGCTTGTGGTTTTTCATTATTTTAAATTCATTGAAACCTCGCTTATTTTTTAACATATTCTTTTCGAATCATGATTGTCTCGATGATTAATTATAATTTATATGATAACATATAAATAAATTTTTTTACTTTCATTTATAAGATAAATTTGTAATTTCTTTTTAACAAATGATTTGATTAGTCATTATTAGTTACGAGTAACCTAAATTTAAATCATTTGATTAAATAATTATATCAATTAAAAAATTTGTGAGTAACTAAGATATAAAATAAAAAATATATATAATAATTATAAAAATAATAACTTATACTGTTATTATTTAAAAAAAGATATTCAAAATGATTTATTAAATATTAAAATATTATTAATATTAACATTAATTATTGTATACACATATAATAAAATAATAAATAATTTAATTATTTTTAATTCGGTTAAATAATTATTTTTTACATTTTAAATTTTATTCTTTCTATTTATCAAAATATGCGAGATTTCAAAAGAAAAAAACAATTATAGTTACAATTGCAATAATTATAGTAGAATTCGTTAAATCGACGCAATGCCATAAATTTGCAATTTTATTTCATAAATTTTTTAATATTTCTGGAAGCTGTTATATAAATAATAAAAATCATTTATCGTCGCAAATTTGTTTAGCATTCGTATTAAATTATATATGTTGAATTCTTTTAATTCTTTCAAGTAGAAATTAAAACTTTGGTCCCAATATATAACTACTTATAAAATTATAATGCAATAACACGATACAAAATTAAAATACATTTTATAAATTTATGTATTTCTTATTTAATACTATTTGTGAAAAATATAATTTTGTATAAGTTAAAAATATTTTTTCTTTGATTAATATTGAAATTATGCGAATTATACATCATGTATATAAATATAATTATTAAAATTAATTTTTATAAGATTGTTTGAAGAGTTAAATGTAATTTATGAAAAAATTTTGTTCTTTTAGAATTTTAAGAATTTATTAACAAAAATAATTTATTTATTGTGATAAATGTTTAAATTAATTTGAGAGCTGGATAAAGATTATTATTATTTTAAAACTAAAGATAATTATAATAGTATTATAATAATTGTAACAAAATTGTAACTATTTCTTTTAATTCAGTTTGTTTTTAATTTGTACATATATTTGTACATATTATTTATTCTTTTATCTATCTATGTAATTTCATAATTATCATTTAATTCTTAAAAGCACAATTACTTTTTTTAATTAACTAAATTAATTAATTAAATTAATACAAATATATTTATATAAATAATACTTATTTTTTTCAATATTTTTATTTTGTTTTATTATTAATGTTTAGTATAAAATATTAGCAGAAATAATTATAAAAATAAAATATTACTTATTACTTATTTAAGAAACTTATTATTTTAATTATTGAAGTAATTAAATTAATAAAATTGAAAACAAAATATTTATCCAGCTCTAAGTATATGCAGAAAATGTATGTTTTACAAATATAATAGTTGAAATCAATTTCAGATTTGAAATTAAAATTTGAAAGACGATTTTGTTTTCAAGTTTTTCAAATTTGTTTCAAGAAAGGATTTTGGATTGCAACAAACATCAAGTCAAATATATAGTGATCTTTCTATCTCTTTTTCATATGTTTTCATGCCATAAGTTTTAATTTCAGAAACAGTATAGTTTAAGAAAAAGATATTTGGTTTCAACCATTTGGCAGATAATGGCAGTACATAGAATTATATTCTCCAATAATTTTCTTTTTTCTTAATCTAGACTGCAGATAAATATTGATTAATCTACAGCCATATTCTAAATAAATGGTCTTGCGACGACTCTAGAATTATTCTCTTAATGAATGCACGACGAATAATATTTAGTTATAATGCCTCCTATTCGGTGTTGAATCAGTGCGCTGCAGTCTCGCTGGAAGTAGAAATTAATTAAGTCTTCTGTAATAATACGCAATTTCTAATAAATTATAT